CAGAAAGAAAACCGTCACTGTTAAAAGATCATGTGCCAAGGTTTGCTGTTGCTAAACTATGACTTGTGTTCTTTTTCTATGAACTGATTGAATATCTAATGTATCAATGTTATAGAGCACTCTCTAATAACATTGGTATTATTCTTTCTTTTTCTTATTTTGTTCTACATTCTTTTTACTTCTTGCACGATATAAAAGAAGGTGTATTCCATCATCTTCTTTGATTCTTCTGCTTATTTTCCTGTGTTTCCTGAATAAGGGTGGAGGCACGAATAGCTAGTCTTTTTCAAATAAAATCATTTGGTGAATAACGAAAATATTGTTCTTTTCAATCGATCAATTCAAATACAAAAGAATGTGAGTGTGATTGTGGGCAGCTAAAGAGAGATACTCACACTCATACTCACACCCTCGTTGTCACATATCTAGTCAAAACATGCTTTATTCTACTATCCTATGGATGATTGAAATATGTCTTATGATATTAGTGCAGAAAGTTACTGTTTAACTTATTTTTTTGTAAATTTTTTAAAGTTTGTCAACGATGATAAATATAATCATATTTTTTAACGATATAGAGGCATATGCTTAGTCTGTAACATGTTTTCGTAATATATAATTGTGTAGAAGTGCGTTAAGCATTTATTCCATTATTGCAAAAATCAAAACAAGACCGTATTGTAAATGTATCAAGTCAAATGGGATCTTTTGGAAAACCACTTCCAGATCGTAATCGATTAGCTTACTCAACATCGAAAACAGCTGTCAATATGATGACTGTTCAATTCGATATGGAATTTCGTACTGAAAATTGGAATATCAAAATCAATAGTGTAAATCCTGGTCGGTATTAATGAAGCCTTCTAAAAATCTTTCTTTTTATCTAAGTCATATTTTAGGACCGGCAAAGACATACATGACTAACAACAAGGAAGGCTATCCACCACCAACTCAAGCTGCTCGAGCTATTGTCTATGTTGCAACACTTCCAGACGACGGTCCATCCGGAGTATTCTTTGATCCAGAAAATAATAAAATACCTTGGTAAAACTTTCGCACAAAGTCACTCACTCGTCTATTGACTAAAATATACGTTGATTGCGTTCATTTGCATTTGACAAAAATATCATTTTAAAATAAAACGAAAGTTTTTTACAAATTGTATTTATTGGATTCTAATTTTTTCATTTGTCAACACTAAGTAAAAATAACATATATACGCAGTTTAGATACTTTTCATGAGATTATAGGATCATCCTTTATCCTTCAGCATACTAGAATTATTTTGATAATATTGAAACTGAATACATTCATCGCAATTAAAATTATTCTCTGTATTGTAAACATAATCAATGCAGATATTTCTTTTGATTCGAAATAAATTTTTATATTTTATTGACAATTAAAAAGAATCTTTACACTACTAATATATAATGATAATTTACAGAGTAATCGATATTTATCTTCAACAAAATACAATTGAATTGAAAATAATTATTATATTCTTACAGTTGTACTCCGTCAATCGTATGACATAGTTGCAATGAGTAGTCTATATTAAAGTTAAAATTGATCTACTTGTGTCTATTTCCACTTCTTCTAACTGACACATACTATATGCATATCTGCTTTTGACATAAAATTTTTATTTTTTGATAATAAACTTCTTGTAAGAAGAAACTATACTTTCAAAGACTATACAACAAATTGTAAGGATGTAGATGTAACTGTGACGAAAAAGAATCCCACGTCTACACTCACCCTCAATCAATTATGGCTTATACCAGTATAAAATATATATAGTATGGATAGAAGTTGAAATTTAAAACAATATTTCGATTATCTAAAGTGTAAAAAAAACAGAATTGGAGAAGTTGGGCATCGATCCCAATACCTCTCGCATGCTAAGCGAGCGCTCTACCATATGAGCTACATCCCCATGTTATTATTCGTATTTTAATCATTTCTAGACAAAATGAGAAATATTTTATCAGTAATAGGAGTGTCACTTTATCTTATTACTTTATAAATAAAGATAAAGAAGAATAATAATCAAATTGACTGACTCTAATAAAGCCTTAATCTGTCTGATGAGGGACAAGAAGATTTAATAATTATTTATATAATGAACTCGAATAATGAAAAATAATCTTTATATAAAATTCAGATTTTTGATATTACTTTTATTTTTGTAAAAATAGAACATTGAATTCATTAGAAATTGTTGACGTTTAAAAAGTAAAATAATTTTATGATTATATCATTTACGACCTGGAAGGGAAATAGAAAAGGTCATATATTTTTATTATATAAATGTAAATCATTTTTTTTCTTGACAGAATAAGTATATCTGATAATGACAAATAAATCTGTTTATGATGAAAATTATTTACGGAAATTAGTTTTCTAAATATTCTGTTTTTGACATAATGCCGTTGGCTTACTAGGTATATTAATATATTCTTTTTCAGGCTGTCATAGAAAAAAGAGAAAATAGATGAGATTTTGATTAAAGTACTTTTTTGAAAAGAAAAGTAAAGAGAAGACGTCAGTTGTTGAATAATATTTATTTTATTTTATTAACAAAAAATCAAGAAAGTCAAAGATGTCTATGCTTGATATAGCTACAAAATTATCTTTTTGGGGACCAGTTACTCTATTTGCATTGGGAATTCCAGGAGCTTTAATTAATGGAATTCTTTTTATTGGAATTAAAACATTTCGTCAATCTCCAAGTTCTTATTATGTTGTCGGTCAATCATTATTCGATATTGCCGCTTTATTAATTCTTTTTCTTCCAATTTTTCCATCATTACCGCTAATGTCTTCTAAGATTTCATGTAGATTAATGGTCTTCTTTAGTGAAGTCACAGTACCATGCGCAATGAGTTTTTTATGTTTAGCTGCATTTGATCGATGGGCATGTACATCCAGATCAGCTCGAATACGACAATTAAGCTCAAAAAATATTGCTCGTTGTCTTTTTCCAATGCCTTTTCTTTTTTGGTCATGCGTTAATGCACCTTATCTTATTTTTGTTGATTATGTTCCTCAACTGTCTAGTTGTTGGTTTACTAATGACCTCTTCCAACAGATAGCTACCTATTTTCTTACACCTTTTATGGTTGCTTTGCTTCCACTTATTATTCTAGTTATATTTGGTATTCTTACACATCGAAATATTCGTCTTATCAAGCATATGCATATTCAACAAAATCAAGCTCGAAATCGTTTATCACAATGGGAACAACAAATGACAAGAATGATGATTGCACAAACTTGTATAAGTATTATATGTATCTTACCTCAGCTTATCGGGCTGCTTTATTCGGTGGCTACTCTTAATACACGTGCAATGCGAAGTTATGATCAAGTTGTACTTGAATATTTAATTGGTCAAATAACAACATTTATTATAGGTATAAATTTTGCATCATCATTCTATATATTTTTTCTTTCTTCACCACGTTTTCGAAAGTCAATCAAAACGTATTTAAAACAACTTATTCAAGTGAGAGATAATCGAATTGGCATCATGGATGCTTCTTTCACGGCACAAAATGCCGTTACACAACATCAAGATAAACACCATTAACTCAACCATTGAAAATTTGACTATAACTTTGTTTTTTTTTTCATTATATATTTAATCATATATGTATTATAATTATTGTGTTGTAAATAAAAAGAATGTCTGATCCATGTTATGACAGAAACAGACATTTTAATATATCAAAAAATTCTTGCCACTGCTATCAGAAACACTCACTGCTTATGAGTTAACATTTGCGTATAAAAATAAAAAAAACTAATTAGATACTTTAATATTTACAAATGGATGTCCACCAGCCATGATGGTGATTCAGTAGTAATTAATTCTGAATTAATTGAGCGATTGGTGTCAATGACTAACTGAAAAAAATTTTCTATAGATAATAGTCTTAGCAGAGTAAGTTACCTGATGGCTATGCTGATTTCCATATTCTTCATCATATTCAGTCGTCGTTTTCAATCGCCAACGACATAATATTGGCGATCGTGCTGAATATTTTCTTGATTCTTGAGCAATCGCTTTTCGTATTCGTTCGGCACTTCGACGCTGTACGATAAAACATCCAACAAAGATAAAGGTAAGTCCAAAAAGAAATAAAGCAATTGCTACACCAATGAATATAAAGTCACCTGATGTGATTAAACCAACGATAAAGGATACTATTGTACCAATAATACAGAAACCAAAGACAAGAACAAACATGACGATGAATTTAGTTGAAGATATTAGACGATTGATTTTATTAATGGATTCTTGAAATTCATTTTGACTAATCACACCATTCAAATCATTTTGATAAGTTGAATCAAATTCTGTTTTGCAACATCCAGCTAAAAGATTCAAACTACAATTATATTCAAAATAGACTATATGATCTTTACTGTGAACTGATGGTACAGAAATAGATTTCGGATTTGCAAAATTATTGATCATTATTCCTCGATAGTAAAACCGAACGAAAATACAGTAATCATCTCATTTTACATTGAATTAATAGTAACATGTATGATGTCACTTTTTTGTTGTGTGTCATTAGATAAGAAAAACATACAATAACAATCACCAAGAGCAAATTTCTTATCTCAAATGACGCTTTTCATTTTGAGGGTGTGGGTGTAAATGAGTAATGGACACTCTAACAAATAATCTTCAACCGTAAAAAAATGAGGACAAGGTATAGTAAGGTTTCACTTTCTGTGATGAAACAAATTTTATTGAAATAACCCAATACAAGAATATTGAATGAAGCATGTTTTTCTCTTCCACTTGCAATGCTTTTCTTTTGGATCATTTTCACTATGACATGTAATAAGATTCGATTTTATTGAATAGTAAAACAGATACCCTACACTTTACAAACACTCGATACGATGTGAGAAATTGAGATACAATCAGCACCCCCTGTTCTCCGATGTTGGCAGGGTTTCTTTATATAGCTTGAGCTGAGCCATGCAACTATTCATCTAAAAAATATCGATATGTCTCGATCTATCCAAGTGATTCGTGTTTCCAGAAAAATTTCATTTAGAACGCGACATCAGGTATGCACTAGTGTCAAATTTGAAATTTGCCTTAAATACCAAAAGAAATGCTCTTTTCAAAAGTTTCTTTATAAACTCGTTGTTTATTTTACCTTAGTCACTGATTTGATGAGCTCTTTCATTAATTATTTTTCGGAACGTAAATAATTCACAAAATTCTCTCAACTCCTTTTTTTCTTTAGCGTTGTCATCCGTCGAAATCAGACATTCAACCTATTCCTATCATCCATCTAAAAATTTCATCACTACAAGTTAACGCTACGAATGATTATAAGGTAAGCAAAAAATTGCAATTTAAATTAGTTATTTGAGTAAAACTCTTGAAGAATTTTGCTGAACTAGTAGAACTCTACGTAGTTTAACAATGAAGGGCACGAAACTTTTTTAGGATGACACTTAAACTTCCTTATTTTTTAGCCTTCCGCGAATAAAAAAACTGAGCTCGTTCCATCTATAACGCAACCAACTGGTGCACAGCCAAATCGAATGACTTTTAAAGATGAACATCATCAAAAGTTGAATAGGAATCGAAAGAAACAGTAAGTTGCTTTCTTACACTTGTTGTCTCTTGTACTTTGAATATCTTTCACTTAGCTATTGTAATCGTATTTGTCATCGACATACACTTGTCTGTTTATTTTTGTCGTTACTTGTTCTTCTTCTTCTTGGTACGGGCATTGCTGCCGTACTTATAACATTGAATACAAAAACCACAACGACAACAACGACAGTAACATTAATTACAGTGACGACTACAACAGCTACAACAACGACAACTACTACTAGGGTGTGGGTGTGGGTGTGGGTGTCAGATAAATAAAGAAGCGACACTCACATCCACATCCACCCTGAATTTTTCCTTCTCCGGACTTTTTGACAACATCAAAATTTTTTATTTATGTAAGCACAATTAAAGCATAGATATTTGTGATTAAAAGCGAATTTATCACTAGCAAAAGCAATATATACAGATATCACAAATTTAAGCATGATAATTAAATAGAAATGAGAATACTCTTAATTTCAAAAAACAAACAATCAAAGCTTTTAAGTTAATAAATGAACGATATGTTTTTGTTGAAATAGTTCAAAGAAAATTTGATAAATATAATCATTGCGTTGGTACGATACGAAAGCGACGTTTGATCTTTTGAAATATTTTCACAAGATAAGGAACAACGAATCGAATTCCAAAAGACAAACCAGCAAATACACTCAAAAATGTAGTTAACATTTCAGTTACATCGAATCGAGAACGGTATGTATAGACACAATAATTTGGAGAACAACTTTCGTAAAAATTTTCATAAGATACATTGCTTGTCCATGATTCGATAAACATTTGATATGCCATTGTCTCGATTGTATCATTGACACTGAATCGTGTCAATGAATCGTTTAATGGTTTGACAGAACGAGGAGGTGCATCTAGTAAATCTCGAAGATTAATAAAACAAGTTTCAGAATACAAACAAGATAATGATGAAAGCAATACTGTCTCCATTGAATTGCAGCCAAATACCATGCCATCAATAATCATTGTTTCGTTAGAATTAGATAAATTCACTGGCATTGTGCAAGTTTGTAAAGTAGCACAAGAACAACTTGTATTTTGTTCTGTATTGTTATGAATGATAGGTATAGTAACAAATGAAGTATTTCTTTCTGCGTCTATTCCAGCTCTGCTTAGATTCCAATTTGATGAAAACGTTGATAATAGAGCATTTCCTTGTGCAGTCATACGAAGAAGATCGAATGTTTGAGCAAAACTGATTGATATTCTTTTTTGAAATTGATTTATGGTATTATTTATTTCGTTCCCGAATCGTTCACGAGACTCTAATTGATTGATTAGCATAGTCGAAGAGAGAAAAACATTAATACTATTTTCAACACTTTCTTGTGCCAATAAACAAAGTAATCGTAAAGAATCGATAAAGAAGAACTTCCATACTTTAAAATCATTCCCATATGAGAGATTGAACTCATCTAAACCCAGCAGTCCTATACAGATATATAACAGATTTGTCAAATGTTTATAAATTTTTATAAAATATTTTTAATATATTCTACTTGAACTTCGATTTGTGAAAATAGTTCATTCTATGAAAACGATATTTTAACTACTTTTCTTGTGTTCTCTCTACTTATTATATTAAATCTTGTACTACTCAATCAGAACGATTAAATAGAAAAGAATAACATGTACTATGCTGTAAATGAAGTTTTCTTTTCAATTCAATGTTCTATTCTATATCAATCGATAAATTCCTGATATTTTCTAATAGTTTATATGAAAATAATTCTTTCAAATCATATTACCATCTGTCAAAATTTCAAAAATTGCATTTGTTGAACATGCTTCATGAAATGCATCGACTTGTAATTCATTGATAAAGTCACCATAAGGAATTGATATATGTGTGCAAGGACAAGTAATATCATCTGAAGGATGATCTTTGAGAAATTTTTCATAATCCATAATCGAAGATAAGGGATATGGTTTGTCGATATTACGATTAATAAGAGCTGTATAGAAGAGTAATATACTGAGAGAACTAATATAAAGAACTAAATAGATTCGAGTATATATTTGTTGTTGACGAATTAATATCTCTTCTGTTGTTTCAGTCTTAAATAAGTTGAGAGTTTTAATTGATTGATAAGTAGTGATTAAAAGATGCTTGAGATAACCACTTATTGAAATGACTAGAAAAATAAAGATATATAACATCAAATAAGTACAATACTGATATTAGAAAAACAATTTTCATATATATAAATCTACTCTGATTATTTATGTTGATTCTATGATGTAGAAATCTTTTACAATATCTACGATATACTTACTACGTCGAGTATGACGCCTTTTCCACCAATGAATAAAAGAGAAAATAATTTTACCAAACAATGGTATAAATATTCGAAAATTTTTGTTTAGACCAACACATATAGCAATAAGAAGAAGTAATGATTCTGGAATTCCGCGACGTTGTTTATTTGTGTATGTGCAAGATCGAGGTAAACATTCCTTATAGAATTGATCAAAATGTGTATTATTACTTATTATTGTTTCTAACAACATTTCATCAATCAAATCGCGCATTTTTTCGTTCTCAAATCGAGTGAATATTGATGCATTGAGAGATTTTATATCTGGTGGTGGCTGAGACTTAATAACGATTGAATAAGTTTCTTTAATGTATTCTAGATATGTACTATTATACCACCATCCAATCTTCGAATTTCGAAATCCAAGTAAAGGTGTACAACCGATATATACCGTTTGAAAAAAAGAAGTTATTGGAAATTCATCATAATATGATGCATTTATATACAATAGAGGTATAATAAAGCACTCGTCGTAGCCCATTGAACATGTACACAAACTCGACGCAGCAATAGCTGTCTCTGTAAAAACGGAATACATTTGATAATTAGTGGATTTAATAGAAAGTTGATCATCAGTGGTTAAATTAATATCATAACTAATGTTTCCTCCATTAAAAAACTGACCAGCAATAAGTGCAACATAAATCCAATCAAATGTACGCACAAAGTTGTTGCGTGTTGTGTTAATAAATGAATCTATTATCGCTTGAGTTTTTTGACGAAAAATTGATGGAGCAGGAACACGATCATTTATGAATTGAGTATTATTGAATACGCGCTGTGCATCGACAATATTAATCTTAGCCATTGAACAGAAAGTAGCTAAAAGTTGGAAATAAGAAGCACCCATTATCCGAAAATCACGGGTAGGCAGAAAGTCATGTGGCCATTCTGGTAAAAGTGATGTATCGAATAATGTCAGATAGTGTAACCATGCTGATGAAATTAGATCACTTGAACATACTTGATGTAAACTAAATGTGACATTAAGAAACGCTTCATATGGAATAGATATGTTTGAACAAGAACATTGTAATGTAGTTGAATGATCATTATATAATTGTTGGTAGGTAGTAAGGGATGGATGAGGAATTGTTACTAATTGATTTTGTTTAATGAGAAATACGTAGAATCCAACACCAATAGAAGAAATAGTGATGAGAACAATAAAGAGTCGTGTTAAAAGTCGTTCACGATATATATTAGTAGGAGTACGCGGTTTGGAACTTTCAAAAACATTCAAAGAAACCGCTTTTTCTTTAGTAGACTGTGGTATACGTCGAATGCGATCCCGTATTATATGAACTACAAACAAAAATGTATGAATATTCCTTTTTCTTTGAATGAATGAGAAAGGTCATTTCAGTTTGAAGATATTTTCAAAGTTATAGTCTCGATAATCTCTAGATGAAACCAATTCAACGACAATCGAACATTCTATGATGCCTATAATAATTCATTTGCCAATAGCCTGTTGCTCTAGATTTCGTACCATCATTGCTTCTATTAGCTTCAGAGTGTAGATAAATGAGTGTATTAAACTATTTAATGTAAGCTTATGAGCTATTCTCATTATCTGATGTAGACTGAAAGTCATTTTGTGAAAGAAAAACATCTTTCCATCTTTATATATAGAAGTTGTACTGGAGCTTATTCACAACATTTCGTTAATCATATACATACTACCATTACTATATGTCTTAAGTCCGAAAATCTAAACTTGTAACCATGTACTCTAGCATTTGAAGGTGTGGACATATGGCAACTTTCATTCAGTTATGAAAATGAGAGAGAATGAATTCTAACTTACATCGATGCTGCCATGATACCTGTATCTGTGCTACATTTTCAACTGGTACAACACGATTTTTTCGACGTAGTATTATTTTCGCAATGAGAGGAGCAAGAAATCTTATGCCAAATGATAAGCCACTAAATATACCCATAATTGTGGTAATAATAAAAGCAATATTAAAACGACGTGTATATGAATATGAACAATATGGGGAATTACATTCTGAATAATATAAATCAAAATCAGTATTAATTATCATTTTATCAATCATTAATTCATTTAAAAGTGTTTCTATTGTTGAATTTGAAGAAAAATGTTTGAGTGAACTATTTGATAATGGTTTTATACCTATAGATAATGATTGATGTAAGAGAGAAAGACATGTTTGATTATAATAGCATTCAAGTGTTGAAGCGAGTGTAGCATCAAGCATCAAACAATTCATTATCATTCCTTGTATATTGATTAAATGTCCATAGCTATCGTTAAATGTAGCAGGACGTGGACAACCTTCAATGTTCAAACAGGAACAATCATTGAACAATCGAGGAGTCATTCGAATAGAACCAGATGGTAAAATACGTAAATAAAAATTTGTTTGTAAAGCTGATACAATTTGATCTCCACTAGTCATACGACGAATAGCAAGTAAACTATGAGCCAGTGCTGTTTGAGACAAATCGATTTGACTACTAAATGTTGTTTGAACTTGACTTCGAATAGTTTCTTCGAAAGATACTGCTGGAGTAAGAATACGTAATGTATTAAAATTTGCTACAGCATCATCCCAACTTCTTTGGCTTGCAATACATAAACCTGCAATGATTTGCCAAAAAAAACTCAAAGTAACACGAAAATCTTCTGTAGATTCAAATGAAATATTTTCATTTGTAAATAACTTATCAATCCATATTTGTTCAATAAATTCACTTGAACAAACTTGATGAAAATCAACTTCAGTTGTAACAAATGTACTGTATGTAATAGCATGGTTCGAACATGGACAATACAAATTATTTAGATCGCTATTTGTTAATTGTAAAAATCGTGTACGAGAAGGTGTATCTTCAGTTTTCTCAATAGTTCGAATCATAAATGAAGTAATAATTGCAAGTGCAATTAAAGATACAAGTAATAAACAGACATATATACGAGTAGAAATTAGTTCTTTTGAAAGAGTTTGATCAGTACTCGATGACTTTTTGTAAAGATTTAATCGAAGAAATGATTGCCATAAACGATTTATCAAATTGGATGCCATTGCACACACAATTCAAGATATAAACTTGAGAGTGTGTGCTTACGTGGGTGACTGTTTTCTCTTCAATCGCACCGCCACCGGTGAAATGTGAAGAGAACGGATATCATAGAATTTCTAAACAGAAAATTATTTCAGTAAAAATGATTTTTATCTATAAACTAACTTATGCTTCAGACATCATTTTCGAGCACGGATTCTAATTGTAATGATATAGTTCGATCGTCTACTTTCATAATTATATATTAATCCTTGTTACGAAAAAGATATTAAATATAAACTTACCCTATCATGTAGCTTTCTTTTATATAATGTATGGAGAATCAAGCAATTACAGAATTAAAGATGATAAATAATAAAATCGAATTGATACTACTGTTAGAAAGAGTGAAAATAACCGTTGAAATAACTAAGAAATAAGCACTTTTTTCTTTGAAAATTTATCATTTAATCTAGAGTAAAATGTGTAACACAATGGTAAAAATAATATGAATGAATGTCATATATATCTACGTTTTTCTCTTTTATATACACTATGTATATATCATGCTCATAAATATGTAGATCTAACAACAGATGCCATTTCTCATTATATTTCTCTTCTGTTCTTATCACTACAGAGTATTCATCCAGTAGGCAGGTGTAGCTGTGAGTGTGTACATAGGCAGAAAATGCTATGACTTTCAACAAAAAGAAACAAAACTTAAAGCAGGAAGTTGTGATACAAACGGAAAAACAATGTGTAAAAAGGAAGGTTAAAAAACGGATACAACAGAAAAAAATGGCATGATAAATGGATAAGTTTACAGAATTGCGTTTCACAATAAAATAAAACGACGGAAATACGAGCAGAAATGATTCCCCAAATCGAGAGAGCGGAAATTTTATTTGTTGAGTAACTTGGAAAAAATGACGCATTAAACATTGTCAACCATCCATTCAAAATTTTCACCTTCTAAACAGTATTAGAATATTGTCAGGTGTATCGAATATTAAATTTCAATAAATGAATCATCTTGAGGTCGAAGATGTTGATAATGATAATAATTTTAATTATAAGAATATATCTTTAAATGAAACATCTTCTAATATCAAACTAAGTCTAGATTTCTTATTGGCTATAATTGATAGAGTGTGAGGGTGTGGATGTATCTGTAGGATGTATTTCGTGCGTATATCCTCAAGATAATCTGATTTGTCTGGACATCTTCACAAACTGATCACCCCTGAGCTTCATTTTACTAATTACTGTTGTTCGTTCTTTGTAAATTTTTTAGCATTATATTTTACTGTATCATATTCTGCTTTACATGTTGATAGACAAAGCAAAGGTGTAGAAATGAAAGTAGTGGTGTATTAGTAATTATAATATGAATTACACCTACTCGCTCTTTTAAATGTTATCAATATGACTACCAGCTTAAGAGAAAAAAGACCACGGTTTACTGTCGTAAAACATTAATATCATTCAAATCGTTTCTATATGACCAGAATTTATATCAGTTTGCTTTTTCTTCTCTATGATTACTAGTGAGAATACATACGCTTCATATTTAGGATTCTTTTTATCTTCCTTATCATCTACTATTATGACGGCAATTGTAAAATTCCTTCTTTTCTTCTGCATTGTACGAGATTTATTTTGCTCATAGATTATAAAAGAAAGAGTTATAACAAGTGTTTCGTGTGACGATTTTCAGTTTCAAAATTAAGAATGAGAGATAATTTTACTATAACACTGCTTGTATACGAATGTCCTTACTGTGAGGAGATATATCCAACCACTGATGTCTATATACATGCAGTAAGTGTATTAACTGAGATGTGGTAGAATGTGTATGGCGACTAATTTTTTATGAATCATCTTAGAAAAGCTGCACAAAGCGACCGGCATATGATAAAAAACGACTTGTTATAATATTTATAGTAGTAATAATAGTAATACTGATCATAACTGGTGTTACAGTGGGTGTAATCGTTGGAAGAAAATCAAATATAAATAAAGGTAATGGTACTGATGAACTTTCAAGTAAATATTCGAAAACCATATATGATGTGAGTGTGGATGGGTAAGTAGAACAAAAAATACTACATCCACATCCACCCGTTCACTTAAATTCATTAATTTTTAATACTAATTTACTGTACTAATTCAATCTTGTTTTTCATGACCGATAAATACAGAAATAATACCACTTGCAACTGTTACCTTTTTCTTTATTCATTTAGCATCATCTTCCACTACATGGACCACACTATTAACAACAAGCCGTAAGTATTAAAAAGATTTTTATTGAGGATGTGAGTGTATGAGAGTACGAGTATTAGATCAGTCTATATCCAGACACATCTATCCTCAATATTATACTCAATATTATGATTGCAGAATGGATTAAAATCCGAATTCTTTCCTTAAATATCATTTTAGCGATAACCACACGTCCTGATCCGACATGTCTATTATCAACGTGGAATGACAACGGCACTACTATCGTTGGTTCACAAGACGGAATTCATGGCGGTTCACTCAATCTACTTTACAATCCACGTGATCTAGTAATAGATAATAATAACGATATCTACATTTCTGACACACTGAACCGTCGTCTGATGAGATACATATCGAATGCTACTGAAGGATATCCTATCTTCAACGGTTTCAGCATACGCGGAATTGCCTTGAGTCCAGATGAGCAAGCCATTTATTTATCCACCTTTATATTGAATATAGAACGTATTGAACGAATTAACAAGAACGGACTCGGTGGAAGTACTGTGATCGTACCACTAGAAGTTTTTAGCGTTTGTTATAGTCTCGTTGTTCGATTAGAAAATACTTACATTTGTGACACAAATAATCATCGAGTGATTTTATGGTTTAACACTAATTCAAGTTTTGATGTGGTTGCTGGTGGAAATGGATGGGGAACTGATTCTGAACATCTGCAATCACCTGAGGGGATATTTGTTGATGATGATCAAAATATTTACATCACTGATACACGCAATCACAGAATACAACTTTGGAAAAAAGGAACATCACAAGGAATAACCGTCGCTGGAAGTTCTCTTGCACTTGCCGGACCTGGTCTTGGAGAACTGCGTTCCCCGACAGCAGTTATTGTTGATAGTCGTGGTACAATGTTTATTGCTGACGCTGGTAACCATCGAATCTTGCAATGGTTTAAAGACGAGACTCAAGCAAGCGCAATACTTGTAGGAAGTACTGGCACATTGGGATTAAATCCGAATCAATTGAACAAACCTACAAGTTTAAAGTTTGATTCTGAGGGAAATCTCCTTGTGGTGGATAGTGAAAATAATCGCGTACAAAAGTATTTCGTCGATAACAGTCAATGTTAAATGAAAAATTAACGTTTTATGTTATTTTTCTCTATCTAAATTGAACAACTGCAAATGAAACAAACAATTTTACTTTTTTAAATTATATTATTCAAGACAACTTTCTCAAACTTGAGAAAGATCAATACTCTATTCTTTTCAAAGATTAAGTTTTTCAAACTAAAAATAAAAGATCATGAATGGTCAAAGTCGTCTGTTCATTCTGGAAGCTTCCGTTTCAATATCTCCATTTGTTGATTGTATTGACGTTGCTGTATTGAAACTAGTTCCGGCTGTAGTAATTGTTGTTGACGTCGTTTCTGTCACAAGCTTTTTCGTGGTTGTACGCTTTGTCGTTGTAGTAGGTGTGAGGCAAGTTAAACCAATGTACTGATTCTTTTTGCAGACAGAACTGAATACAGGTGTAAACGTGCATTGCATGAGATCAACTGTGGTATTTGTACAGTTCATCTTGTTTAGAATGAGTTGGCATGGAAACTCCACAACATTATTCTTATAGTCAAAAGAGCACATTTCATGTTCATTAACTTCAAGATTTGCAACAAAACTTGCTTTTGTATGACCCAATGAACGACAAGCGGCGCGTGCTGTGTTACTATTAAAACCACGTGGAGATATCATGCCACTAGCAGAGAAGGTTTGATTCAGATGAGAAACGTAGAAACTAGCTTTGACTTTCATTGGAGCTAGTTCGATAACAGAAAGATGTGTTAGTGTACGTGGAAAGAGAAGCATATCATAATAGTCGTAGCACCTAGTTCCATGTTGAGTGGAGACCGGAAATACTTTGAGAGCTAGCAATGATATCAAGGTGAGTAATGCAGGACTTGCCATCGTGTGCTAAATAGAAAGACGAAATCAAGAGCAAACTCTGCATATATGCAAGCTTACCTATAGTACACAAAAGACAATCTTATATCGTAGAGAGGTTTCTTTGAATTTGTATATGCCTGACATAGGTCCACAAGAAATTAAAGTTATCTTGGAGCAATTTTATACTATATAATTACACTCTTTAGCTCCCGCAGCTCCCTTTACTCCCTTAGCTCCCTTTACTCCCTTTACTCCTTTAACTCCTTTAACTCCTTTTACTCCCCTTACTCCCTTTACTCCCTTTAC